ATACAGTATTTTATGATGTATATGTGTCTTGGTAGTCAGAGTATCATCGTGGTATGCCTGATAATCCTAGGCAATATTGTGGGAAGAAAGTTACATTCACTCCTACAGTATAACAGTGAAGTGAATTTTAGCTCATGTAGCATCTAGGGTATAACCAGAGAACAGATGGAATCAGTGAACACATTTCTCATTATTGCAAACACAGCCCCCATGGTAGGATATAGTGAAAATGAACTACTACATAATATGTAGCATGTAATGCAATGTCTAGTGCTGAGTCAGCTAGAACAATTGCTGTGCAGCCTCCTACAGTAAATGGGCAAACAAAACCTAGGGCCCTTTAATATTGCCACTGGGTAAAGTTGCCAGTCAGATGCAAACTCTGGTTGGAATAGCTGTAATTATGGTTGCTGATGTGAAGTGTGCTCCGGTGTCCACACTCATTCCTAAGGTAAATACATGGTGTGCTCATATGATGAATCCTAAAAAGTGAATGGATATTATAGCTCAAACTATTCTCATATATCCAAAAGAATAGAATCAGAATGTGTACTTCTGGATGTCCAAGAAACAGAATAGGTGTTGATAAAGCATAGTTTCCCCCTCCCGCAGGTTCAAAAAACGTCGTATTTATTTTTTGGTCTGTGAGGAGTATGGACAATCCTGCTGCAGGAACTAGAAGGGATGGGAGGAGTAGCACGGCTGTAATTATTACTGCTCATACAAATAGTGGAGTCTGGAATTGTGATACGGCAGGGGGTTTTACGTTCATAATGGTAGTAATATGATTAATTGCCCCTAGGATGGATGAAACACCTGCCCAGTGGAGTGAGAAAATAGTGAGATCTGCAGAGGCGCCTGCGTGTGCAAGCTTCCCAGCTAGTGAGGGATATACTGCTCAACCGGTTCCTGGGCCTGCTTCAACTATAGAGGAGGCAAGAAGGAGAAGAAATGTTGGAGGTAGGAGTCAGAAGCTTATGTTATTTATTCGAGGAAATGCTATATCAGGGCTACACGGATAAGGGGAACTAGTCAGTTTCTGAACCTACCAATCATAACAGGTATAACCATAAAGAAAATTATTATGAATACATATGCAGTAACAATTACATTATAAATTTGATCATCCCCTAGCAAGTCTTTGGGTTGACCTAGTTCAGCTCAAATCAGTAGACTAAGTACTGTTCCTCCTATACCAGCTTAGGTGTCAAAGAGGTGGTAAAGTGTTCCGATGTAAGGGTTTATGAACATACAGGTAGGAGGTAAAATGGCTGAGCAGGCATTAGCCTGTAAATCTAAAGACAGAGGTTGAGCCCTCTTTTACCAAGTCCTGAGGTGAATTATCATATTGAATTGCAAGTTCAAAGGAGCAGCTTCAACTCTGCTGGGGCTTCTCCCACCTTTTTTTCTGAAGCCAGTTGAGTTAGGCATTTAGCTGT